TTTATTTCATCCCCTCTCCCATACATCACATACGCATGCCTACGTGGAAAACGGTTGGCATTGAGAAACGAATCGCGCGTAACTTTTAATCGGCAGTTAATTGATTAATTATAAACCGTACAAATGATCAAAATAAAAGCTAATTTTTTATATAATTTTATATATGACAATCCCATGGGGTCACTGGTAATTATTGAACTTGTTATTAACTTAGTATTGTTAAATTAATTATCAAATACACATTGTTTGTAGCACTGATACATTTATAAGTGTAATATATTAGTGTAAATGTGTATTTTATTTTTTATATTATGTCAAAATGTATTTTGTTTGTTTACTTTCAGTAAATTAGTAATTTTTTTTAAATAATCTTTTGTTTTCGACTTTTTAATATGCTCGCGCCCTCCTCGTAGAGTTGTCACGCCCTTCAAGGGGGGAGCGCCCCACAGTTTGAGAAACGCTGATATAAACTACTTTATTTATATATTCGAATCTAAGTCACGCTTTTTAGCAAAGCTAATGGTATTGAAAATGAAGTGTGGAAAAAATCGTTGGATGGGGGGGGGAACTTGAATATGATACAGACTTTTAGATCCATTACAGGTTTATGTAGGTATTTAAAATTTTTTAATACTCATATTGCATAATAATTATTCATTTTTTGTGAGCTCTCACTTTAAATTTTGTAAATACCGGGTAGCAATAAACCATTTTACACTAATTTATTTATATTTTTTTATCGAAAATGTGTTGAGAATTTCAGGTGCTGCTTAGAATCAATGGCGGCTTAGATTCTAAACAAGTAATACAATTTTTTTTTTAGTTAGTTCCTATTTAGGTCAACAAAGCAAAATTTTACTTTAGTTATTTTTCATTAAATAATTACTATTAATATAAATATGGTATAAATATTCGACAGAATCATAATATTGTGGCAAAACACTTTTTAAATTAACATCAAAAACTTTTTAACCACATTAAATTTGTAATTACATTTTTTAATAAAAGTTAAATATAATAGGTTTGAATTTATCTTAAAACCAGTGTAAAAGGAATGCTGACGTCCAACTAGCATATGATTATTCAGTTTAAGTTAAATCGTCATCACAAATTTAATAAAATCACTTTTATCTAATGGTGTTGCCATCTAGAGGAATAATATCGACAGAAATATATATCTTAAATTATAATTAATTAAGTTAATTTAATTAATTAATGAATTTTTGAAAAATGTATTAATATCTAGTGCTATCCACTACAAGTTTAAAAAGATGTATTTAAACTTGAGTGGATGATTAGAAAGTATTTTATTAACGATTGAAAATTTGAACAATATATATATATATATATATATTGGGTTGGAGGGAAAGTTCTGTCGTATTTTAAATAGGC